ACCACAAAGAATCAGTTATACGCCTATACTGTCAACTATTGGATGATTTGGGGCTTTATGCTGGACGATCACCTGGATAACCTGGAATTGAACAATGAAAACAAGCACATCATATGGTATGTATGCCATTATAGTTGCCGTTGTAATGTAATTGTATATTATAGTGATTTAACCAAATTATAATGTGTTTTGTATTTTGAAACATAATATTATGTATTGATTGCATAGCGAGTGGCAGAAGAAGGTTCTGTTAGGCGAAAGCGACGGCACAACTGGTTTTGACACAATGTTAGTGAAGGCTATGAAACTGACTAAAGATATGCTGACGGCTGACCAGTTTGTACGACAAGTGATGTATACCATCAGTTGGATCGGCACATACCTGACTAGCGTTGCCAGAAAATATTCTGTAAAACCTGTATAAATTCAATAATTTTTACCAAAATTCCTGTATTTTCCTTTATTCCAATTTTAGAATTAAATTTACTCAAAATTCATACATTATTTCAAAATATTATACTTTTGTGAAGATTTAGATGTTTTTACAATAGATTTATAATTGACATTAGTTTTTAAAAATTGTTTGAAGTCATTACATGGAATTGAAATATTATTTTTAATACATATTTCCGCTTTGATTAAGTTTAGATTCATTCCTTTTCTATCATTAGTCAAGATTCTCACAATAAGATAATCCGTTCAAAAGTTATTAAGCTGTTTATATAAGCAGTTAGTAAATTTAAATACTGTATGTTTCTTTATTTAAAATATATGTTTTTAACTAATTTTATATAACATATGATTATACCACGTAAAGACAGATTATGATTTATAGTGTACAAATTATAATTTGTAAGCCTTTTTCGAATTTCTTGTATTTGGTGCTCAGGGCGAGCACTTCAAGTAATAGAAAAAAGGATTTTTAACTAAATTTACAATAATTATAGAGGACAAATAGAAGACACGTATTTTAGTCTCATTTTCTTTTAAATAAAAATTATTATCAGTAATAAATATATATATTTTCTGATATTGTATACTAGTAATTATGTGATATATTGTAAATTATTAAAGTTAGAAATAATAATAATTATCTATAGTAATGGACTATATAAGTTGTAGTAAATGTATTAAGAGTTTCATAACATATTCTAGTAGAAAAATATGTTGAAATCATGTGTTTTAAACTTATATTTTACAAATATTTTATAGTAATAAATAAATTAAGGCAAATCCTTTGAATTCTTTTATATTTAATTAGCAGTAATTTAATTAAATTTTGTAATTAAATCTTGTAATTAAATCTTCAATATTATTGCATTTGTAAAATGCATTTTATTCTTAATTAAACATTATAACATATTTTTAAATTTTACGTGTATTGTATAATCTGTTGTCTCAAACTAAATAATGATAAAATTATTATTATTGATAGTATTAATGCAAATGATTGCATCACAACATTCAAACATTAGCTCTTTCAATCCATTGTCAGTGTTGTTAGAGTCCAAGTCATTATACAATGAGACCAATAAGCCATTTGTGTCCGAATACTATCCCTCGGAGTTTTTTGCCACCGGATATATAAGTCTTGTTGGGTTCTCAAAATCGGGTCAACCTGTTTACGGTCAAGTGAGCCGTTGTATGCGTTTGACTAATAACAATGCTCTCGATATATTGTACAGACAATTTATTATGCACATATGCGCTGATTTTATTCGCAAAAATAAAAATGGCCTGTTTTATTTCAGTTTCAGGAATATGAAACCTGAAAATGTTATATTATGTGAGCATGATTAAATATAATCACATAAAATGTAGTGCAATTAATTTGCATATTTATTAATTTTGTTTCAAACATAATAGCTTCATGATACGATGTGGCAGTTATGGTTAATAAACAATGTAGACATCAATCGGGCATTCTATACAATCAGGATCCAAGATTTCCAACCATAATTAATTTTGCTCTCCAATTCCTTAACCCTAATATTCGTAATCAATTCAAAACCAAGTATTGTGGTTAACGTATAGCATCGCTGTGTGAACTTTGTTTAAATATTTAATTGGTAGCAATTTAATTAAATGTTCAATATTATTGTATTTGCAAAACAGATTTTATTATTTATTAGTGTTGTTTATTTATTATATCCACAGTGTGTTTTTGAATTTTACATGTTTAATTTCTAGTTTTAAAATAAAATGATAAAATTATTATTATTAATAGTATTGATGCAAATGATTGCGCCGTCGTATGAGTTTCTTAACCAAGATGCAATATTGAGTCTAGTAAAACAACTGGCTGCTACTACCATATTTAATCCAAATTTGAATCAACTTTCACCACTTTCAATCATTGCTAAGTTCAACCCATTGTCAGTGTTGTTTGAGTCTAATTTATTATACAATAAGACCAATAAGCCATTTGTGCCCGAATACTATCCCTCGGAGTTTTTTGCCACCGGATATACACATAATGTTCGTCATTTCCCATTTTTGCAAAATATCTTCCAGGAAAATAGTTTTGCGCCGGAAAATTCTTTATATTTCTTAAAATTGGGAAAATAAGACAAAAATGTGGTCAAACGATGACCAATCGAGATATATAAATACGTTTATCATATTTATTACATGTGCCCTAACATGCTTAAACATATTCGAGAAGAATATTATGTAAAATCTATTTAATTAATTTAATTTGAATCATTTTGTAAATTATTTGTTAATCAAAATTTAATAATTTCGCTCAAATAATAAGGTTATGCTATGCGAGTGAGAAGCAATTCTTTGTTATTCACCAAATACATTATAAAAGTAATTGAGTACTGTTTTAAATAAAATTATTTTTACAAATTTTTATACTTTTCAAACAATTTATCCATAATAATGCTTAAAATAATCAAAATTATTTAAAATATTTTCCCCTTGTTAATCATTTTCCTGATCCATTTTTTATTTTCTGAAGTTTCCCTATAAATTCCGTCCCGGCAACATGGGAATTTTAGGAGTTTTCAAATAATAACGAACATTATATACACATAACGTCGGGTTCCCGAAATCAGGTCAACCCGTTTACGGCAATGTGGGCCGTTGTATGCGTTTGACTAATAACAATGCACTCGACAAATTGTACAGACAATATATTGTGCACACAACCGCTGATTTTATGCGCAAAAATAAAAATGCTCTGTTGTATTACAGCTATCTGAATATGAAGCCGAAAAATTTTATTTTAAGTGAGTGTGTTAAATACAATTACATTTATTGTAAAGCAATTAAGTTGCTAATTATCAAACATACTAGCTTCTTATTACGATTTGGCAGTTATGGCTAATAAACAAATTTTATCTAAAAATCATTCGTTCGTTCGATTCGATGAAAATAAAATTCTTCAGACCATATCATCGATTTTAGTCTCCAGTTCCTTAACTCTTATATTTGTAATAAATCCATAGCAATGAATATTGCGGACGAAAAGTTGCTAAGTTTGAATGAGATGCCGGTCCAAGTGGGCGGCAGAAACACCAGTTATCACAGAATACCAGCTCTGGTTAAAAGTGGCACATGTTTACCACATCTCAATATATCCAGAAGTTAAAACTAACATCAAATGTATAGAAGAGGGGAGACGTGAGAGTGGGGGTCAACCTATCGATGAATATCTTAAGACTTGCAAAACTAAACCCAAAATTTAAATCAAACTTAAAACCCAAAAGAAAACCCAAAACCAAAATCAAACTAAAATTAAACAAACCTTAAACTAAAATTATAATCTTTTAATTGCAGAATGATAGTTAAGTTTGCTAATATTTAAAATATTTTATTTTTTATTAAATTAATACTTGCATGTATATTGAACTATTAATAACAAAAAATAAATTTTTAAAAAAAGTTAAATTATACTATTTTAAAATATACCAATATGTTTTTAATAATTGGGTAACAATTAACATGATTGTCAATTATTTAATCGTCGATTGTTAATTATTTGCATTCATTATATAATTTGAAAGTTCATTTAATTACAAAATATTATAATAAAAATTTTATAAATATAAAACTAATATATTTATTCAACTGTATTTAATTGCATAAAAAGTTTTACATATTTACATAATAAGTAAACTATTTCTAATTAATTGATCAGGAACGTTTTGATTATTGCGAGCCAATGAGACAGATAATTATCAACATAATTGAATATCAACCTGATAGACGCCCGAACACAACTCAACTACTTAACACTATGGACAACTGGTGAATTTATCTCGTCATTCAGTAATAATGAACTAAATATGCAAAATTACTTTAACCTTTATAAATCAATTATGGGATTTAAATAAGTGATTGAAGTTATTTATAATTTTGTAGGAATAAAGATTGTTTCTACTGCAGGTTCTCACTTAGGTACTTTCGTTATGATGAGGGTATACGGGTATAATAGTCGGGGGGCAGACCCGCAGGTCTATCCCAATGATAATACACTTTAGTTGTACTTTTTAATTATATATTTTATTGGTTAAACTTATATGTAAAATACAGTAATAATAAGTAGAGTAACCATCAGGAGAGAGCCAAAAATAAGGCTTAGATACAGTGCCTTATATACCATATATTTGATGAAATAATAAGTATATGTGTAATACATATTACTAATGCAATTCTCATGATTATTACATAATAGAGGAGTTGCAAAATTACATAGAAATTGAATGAATATATAATTTGTTTATATAAGAATTGGAGGGGAGCCGAGGGAAAAAGTGTTGTCTTCGGCTACGCTTCAATTAATACCAACGGGATTGATATGGTCGTGTTTAGTACAATTAGTAGATGTGTATTCAGCCTTTAAAACGTGCGAATGGCCACAAACACCGAAGTTATGGCCAAATTTTAAACCACTTTCATAGGGCTCAATGCATGACAATTTTGATGAATGACATTACTCATGTTACATGAGTCATGTAAAAAGCAAGTTTTCAATGCATTAAGCCCTATGCAAGTGGTTTGAAATTTGGCCATAAATTTGGTGTTTGTGGCCATTCGCACGTTTTGAAGGCTGAATACACATCTACTAATTGTACCAAACACGACCATATCAATCCCGTCGTTATTAATTAAGTTGCGTGGACATGGATTTCTCTTTAGCTAAATATTACCCCTAAAAATATGTGATTATGTATTTTAGAAGTCTTTAGATTCATACACCTGGCTAACAACTCTATGTAAGTTATTAGCGCCTAAGTATATGTGCTCTATGTCTCAATTGTGCACATAAAATTCTCAAATAATCTTTCGGTTAGAGACTTTTCCGATATGTGAGCCTGGTCAAATTGCTCACATTGTTGGCCCATGACATTTTCATGGTTTGCATGATGTATTCCGCATCCCGAATCCATCCTGGCCAGAATAATTGGAGTGTGT